TGACCCAGTGGCCCCAGCATGAGCCAGGCAGCCCTCCACCGCCCCCCAGGACCAGTCTGCCAGCTCCTAGGAGTCTGCCAGGGGCCGGAAAAGGCAGGCACCTGTCTGGTCCAGTGCGGAGATCAGGGATCTAATTCAGGTTTGGGGGATGCCTCCAACGTCCATGATCTCTGCACTAAACAGAGGAACGCAACCTTCTAGGCGGATGGCTGCCAGCCTGGCCACGAAAGCCACATGCGAACTCAGGAGCGGGTTCGCATGAAAATGAAGGAGCTGCGGCAGGCGTACGCCAAGGCCACAGGGGAAACTCCTAACCAGGGGCAGACCCAGACCCCTGCCCCTATTTTGATGCCATGGACCGTATCCTGGGGGGCAGGACAATCCGTGCCCCCCAGATGGTCATCAACCCTGGGACAGAGCTTGCTGCCTCCTGCTGTTCCGGCCCCTGCTGCCTCCCTAGCTACCGCTCCTCCTCCTCCCACTCTTTCTCCCCCTCCTGCTTCTTCCTCCCCACGTCTGCAGGGACGCCGAGGCTCCCACACCCATGGTGCTGGGAGACAGTTGGGTCAGTAAGACCACCCAACCCTGAGCCTTTGAGCTTCTCCTCCCCTTGCCTCCCCCTGCCAGCTCCCTGCTCCTGGGTTTCCCCCCCCACCCCAGTTTTGTTCAATAAAGAGGCTTTGTTATAATGAACACGTGTCTTTTATTGTGCAGCAGGAAGGGGGGTTAGGGAGGGTAAGTGGAAGGACGTGAGGGAGGAATGAGGCACAAGCCTCCAGTGGGGCACACTAGGGAGACTGTTACTGCCTGCAGAATGTGCTGCCAGGCTCGCAGCAACACGTCCAGGAGAAGCACCAGAGTGCCCAGGGGCGGCTCCGTCTCCATGCTGCCGAGTGCTGTGGTGCAAGAAAGCTCTGATGGCCATTTTAGCCGTAGGGCTTTCTTGCACAAGAAACCCCTGCCGTGCGTCCACACTGCCCTCTTGCACAAGAGCCTTTGCACAAGAGGGCTTACACTTGTTAGAAAAGAGCTCTTCCCATGCTTTTCTATCAATCTTCTTGCGCAAGAGCGGGCGGGCAGTGTGGTCGCGCTGCGGAAGAACGGCCGTTCTTGCGCAAGAACCCGCCAGTGTAGACATAGCCCTACTGTCCTGTTCTGTAGTCTTTCCCACCCCTCACTCCAAACTCCGGCGGAAGCTCCATGCGCAGACATTACACGCAGACCTTGGGGAGGTATGAGCCGGTACCTCCGGGGTGCACTTGCGGCTGGGGGGGTGTCTGCAGGGCTGAGCACCTCGAGACCAGAAACATTGTTGGCCAAGTGGGGGGAGTTGAGAGAAGAGTGAGAGAAACGGTTCCGAAAGTGAAGGGGGTGTGGCTAGCTGCTAAACAGGCTAAGACTGTCCCAAGTCATACCCCACTTTCACAAAGGTGGAGCAGTCCATCTATCCTGTGGGACTGGCAGACCGCCTTTTGCTCCGGTGCAACCCTAAGATTTGCAGTTGTAAGCTCTCTCTGGCCTTTACTATATGTGTGTACGGTGTCTAGCACAGCGGGGCCACCACCTGGTGGTAGCTTCTAGGCTTTTCTACAGTACAGTGAAAGGATCGAGTCGCCTGGGAAACTGTCTCTCTCAGGGCTGCTCAGCATACATGAGGACAGTATTCCCAGTAAGTTGATCGTGTAAGTGGTCACGCAGCTGATGAGCAGAGCACTCACAGCTGGCAGCATGTGTTCCTATGGGTGGTGCACATCCTTGGTGCACAGAACAAAATGCATTCCGCACAGGATGGAAAAAATTGGAGGGAACATTGATGGGGACCTATTAGTCCAGCACGGACTGTTCCTTGTGTTGTACCAGCCCCATCCAATCGGTCAAACCCCTGGTCCTGCTTTGTACACTCTCTTGCTTCTGGTCAAGGGCCTGCTATTATGCGTTGCCCTTTTGCAGGCCATGCAATGAGACTCAATCCTTCCGCGCACCCATGCACAGACAGTTCACAATCTAGTCCTAAGTGTGTGTGTGGGGGGAGGGGGACAGGAATTGTTTTAAATGCTTAATCATGCAACCTAAATGTCCTGTTAATGGAATAGTCCAAATATACTATTAGTCATTGAAGTTGCACCAAGGAACACTTAGAATGTAAAATCCCATTTTATTAGTTAACCGGTTAAACAGGGCAGGGATGGAGCAGCCCTTCCCCCCACCCCTGCCCAATTAAGGATGAGGTTTACTGGTTAATCTGTCACATCCCTAGTGGCACCTATCTACAGATGTTGCTAGAGTGTAATCAAACCGTTCCTGTCTATTACTGTATTGTGTTAATTCAGAGATCAAATGAAGATCCTAGCATTCAAATGAACTGTAGCTATAGCAATATCCATGTCTCTTTGAAGTACAGGAGAAAGTAAATCACCTGCAAATAATGGGACAGAGGCAACTGCCTTATGTTAATACACGGAGCTAATTACCGCTGGGGCATAGGAAATAGAAGGTTATTTCAAAAGTCACCCAAGGACTGGTGCTGTCAAGAGGCTGCAAAAAAATCTCTCAAATTCTGGGGTCCTGATCCTTTTTATCTCAGATCTGCTTTGATAAAAAGGCGTCGTCAGACTGAGATCTCATCTGGACTTCCTTGTTGTTGACTATTTGGGCACTGGACTCAAACCTGATGAATTGATTCTGAAAAGGTGTCTTTGCCATTCTAAAGCTCACCATCCCTGCTAGGAAACTGGCCTAAGGAGTCAATTCATGACAGTATGAAAAATGGTCTTTTAACCAATCCCTTCTTTTCTTTTTAAAATACATTTCCATGTTGGTAATAAATATTGGCTGTACGCGCATATTTGGGCAAGATCTGAAATATTCAGCAGCTTGGGAGGTCATGTGTCCAATCCTGTGGGAATGGTAGAACTTTATAAATAATGAACAAGTTTTTCAATAATCCTCATCAGTGGATGTCTGGGAGGAAGCCCAAGGGTGGAAAAACTATTTCCCTAGGCGGGTGGGGAAGCACTGGGATGGGCTCCCTAGGGAGGGGGTGGAATCTCCATCCCTAGAGGTGTTTAAGTCCCGGCTTGACAAAGCCCTGGCTGGGACGATTTAGTTGTAGTTGGTTCTGCTTAGGGTAGGGGGTTGGACTCAATGACTCCTGAGGCCTCTGTTCTATGATACTACTTTAAGGGAACTGTGTTTTTGGCTTCTGGATAACCACTAAGGTACTATAGTTGCTGGCTTGGTGTATCTAAGTATTGGAATAATCACTAGTTTGGGGGGACTGCCTGTCCCATTCTTTGTAGTTTGCTCCCGTTGAGCATCATTAGCATGGCCCTAGGACACCCAGTCATGGCTACTATGTTCCTTACAGATTTTTTAATCTGGAGTTAAGGCGAGCTTTGCCGGCAGGGGAGCAAACCCTCCACAGGTTTAGTGAACATAAATCTACCGCACGTGCTCGGCGTCTGGTTTTTCAAAGGCTTGCAACGTTACCAAAACCAATTGCCTCCGGAACAATGAAAGTCCCTTCCATGCCAAATTTCATCTTCTAAGTGCCAAATGCTTTGGCTGGAGGCTGTTTGAAGGAGGTTCCGTTCATTTTGGATAGTGGCAAGTGCATTTCATTCACTTTTCTCACAAGCAAAAACGCCTGAACAGTTTAGGTCAGACTTCCGTAAAAAAACATCTGAGGACAGAATCAAGCATGAAAAACGTTGGCCAACTCAAAGGTTATCCACAGATGTGCCTGTCGGCATTGACTAAATAAAGCTGGAGGCTGAAGTGATAGATGGAGTTTATCAACCAAGGGCACCATTATTAGCAACTAACTTTGCAAATCAGCCCCATTCAGCCCCACTGAACACAAGACATTCACATAAGTGAGAACTAAGTGGGCTAATCCAGGGCCAATAAGTGTAGAGTATTCCTGCTTTCTCGCTGAATTGAAGGATACTTGAATTAGTCCTTGAAATGATTAGTATTTTCCAAATGGCGCTGTTTGTGATTCTGTCTGCTGTTTATTTGTAGGTCTGGTAGATCATGCTACTTTTTGTGCTTTAGTACATTATTGCGGGGGGGAGATTCTGTGTTAGGGTACATAATTTAGTCTCTTGGATAGCAATGAGCACTTAAGATATTAATATGGAGAGATACTTAATGTTAGTTCCTCGATCACAGAGTCCCCCTGCTTGCAGTTAATAAATGAGTCATGCAGATACTTTGGGTGTTTAAGTGTTATTTCTGAAAGGAGACATTTTTCCTGTCACATGCACTGAACAATCCATGTGCCTCATTGGGGTGCATGAAGTTTGTGCTATTCAGTATTAAAAGCCTGACTTCCAGAAGTAGAACTCTAGATAAAATAGAACTCTGGACAGTACTGGTATTTCCACGCAGGGGGTGTGAATCCCATTGGCTAACTAGCACAATGGGATAGTCAGAGGAAGGAGAGTAGATGACTTATAGGCTTGGGCATGGGAGGGCCAACACCTCACATCAGCAGGTCAAAATCTAGTCCACATAACAGAAAGTCGGTTTGCAGCCCCTATGAAATGAGTTGGTGAAAATCAGCACTATAGTCATGTGAATATACAGAACAAGGGTATGTCTATTCTTGCACCCTCTTTCGAGAGAGGAATGCAAATGAAGACATTCGAAATTGCAAATGAAGCTGTGATTTAAATATCTTGTGCTTCATTTGCATATTCGCATTATGGCGCTATTTCGAAATACAATGAGGTTTACCAGTTATTTCGAGAGAAGGGTTTTCGCTCAAAATAACCGCATCTTAACAGCGGCTGTTATTTTGAAATAGCGCTATTTCGAAATAGTGCCATAATGCAAATATGCAAATGAAGCATGGGATATTTAAATCCTGGCTTCATTTGCAATTTCGAATGTCTTCATTTGCATTCCTCTCTCGAAAGAGGGTGCAAGAATAGACATACCCTTGTTCTGTATATTCACATGACTATAGTGCTGATTTTCACCAACTCATTTCATAGGGGCTGCAAACCGACTTTCTGTTATGTGGACTAGATTTTGACCTGCTGATGTGAGGTGTTGGCCCTCCCATGCCCAAGCCTATAAGTCATCTACTCTCCTTCCTCCAGCGCCGGTAAGTCTCATCCCACGGTTTACTTTGCAATTCTGAATTTGACACTGGTGTTGGCCATTTGCTTTTCCGACTTCTAAAATGTGTCTTCATAATGACTCATCACCACCATGACCAGAGCCTCAGCTGGTGTGAATTAGCCTCATTCCAACTAGGTTGATATCGTCTGCACCATTCTCTGCATGGTGGGGCTGCCCTTCTTGTCTCTACCCTGATACGTATTAAGAGTGTTTCGCTTTTGTTCTTCTGCAGAAAGTTCTGGATACTCTGGTGAGACACTGAAACACTCCTTTCCTGATCCTGGATGGTAGTGTCTGAAAATGTAACTTATAGCATTTGGGTTTAGAGCAGTGGTGGGCACCCTACGGCCATTGTGATTCTGTGGGTGGCCCATGTACCCCTTCTGTGCCCCGTTCCCCTAGACCTCTCATACACTGGGGGCCCTGATCTTACCTGATTCACAGCATTCAAGCTCTGAGAGGGAGTAGTGGGGAGGAGGGGGAGTGCTTGGGAGAGGAGGCAGGGAAGAGGCCGGGCAGAGATTTGTCATTGGAAAGTAAGTGTAAATGTTGCGTATTCGTATTTGACATTGATGAAAGTTCTATTAGCATATCAACGATTAAAGCATTTCTCCTTGTTCTGAAACACCCAGCAGGCTATGTATTAGTGTATTTCATCTTATTCTTGGGGGCACGGGTAGTGTGCAGACCTGATTTCAGTCTGCCAGCTCACTGAGACGGAGGGGACCACTCCTGCAGCCTACACACTAGCCTTGGTTGCCCATTGTTGGGTGAGAGACAAGGACCCGGGGCAAGCAAATCAAGACATCCTGTGCCTTCTGACGTTCTGACTGCCACATTCTGCACAGAGAAGGTGGTGGATGAACCTCCAAGGGGGTGCTCAGTGTAGCTAAGCAAACCCAACAACCAGAGGTAGGCACATATGCCCCTTGTGGTGCTGGACCTGAGCTGGAATTTTTCATTGCGCTCAGTGAGAAGTCCTGGGGGCTAAAATCTTTGAAAAATGCAGGCACTTATTTCAATGGCTAAGTGGGAGCTGCCGGGCGCTGAGCTGTTTTGAAAATCTGTCTCCGGGGGTTACTTCGAGTTTGGGTAAAAAAATATTAAGTATATAGAGCAAACTCAGAAACCAGTTGGAAAACGTACCCAAGTAGGTTTAAAAGAGGCAGAATTGAGCTGCCTGAGAACCAGGATGGTTTGATGAGATAACATGATCTTGGTAACTGGGGGTATGTCTACACTAGAAAGTTAGTTCGAACTAACGGACGTTAGTTCGAACTAACTTTCCTATGCGCTACACTAGCGCTCCGCTAGTTCGAATTTGAATCGAACTAGCGGAGCGCTTAGTTCGAACTAGGTAAACCTCATTTTACGAGGACTAACGCCTAGTTCGAACTAGCTAGTTCGAACTAAGGGCTGTGTAGCCCTTTAGTTCGAACTAGTGGGAGGCTAAGGCTTCCCAGGTTTCCCTGGTGGCCACTCTGGCCAACACCAGGGAAACTCTATGCCCCCCTCCCGGCCCCGGACCCCTTAAAGGGGCACGGGCTGGCTACGGTGCCCGTGCCAGGTGCAAGCCTGCCAGCACCCAGCTAGCAGACCCTGCACCTGGCACGGCACAGAGCCACCCACCCGATGCCCCCCAGCCCACCCCCTCTTGCCGGGACCAGGCTGGCGGCTCCCGGGAGCTTGCCCTGGACCGCAAGAGGCGGGCACCTTCCTGGGCTAGTGCGGACATCGTGGACCTCGTCCACGATCTCCGCACTAGGCACAGGAAAGTGGCCGTCTAGGGCAGGAGAGCTGCCAGCCTGGCCACCCAGGACCAGGTGTGCATGAAAATCAAGGGGGTCCACTGAGACCCCCGACACTGAGCCCTGAGCTTACAATGGCCGTCCTGGGTCAGACCAAAGGTCCATCTAGCCCAGTAGCCTGTCTGCCGACAGCGGCCAACCCTAGGGACCCTGGAGGGGATGGACCGAAGACAATGACCAAGCCATTTGTCTCGTGCCATCCCTCTCCAGCCTTCCACAAACTTTGGGCAGGGACACCACTCCTACCCTCTGGCTAATAGGACTCCATGGACCCAACCTCCATGACTTGATCTCACTTCCCTTTAAACTCTGTTCTAGTTGTAGCCTTCACAGCCTCCTGCAGCAAGGAGTTCCACAGGTTAACTATTTGCTTTGGGAAGAAGAACAACTTTCTCTTACTAGTTTCAAGCCTGCTACCCATTCCTTTCCTTTGGTGTCCTCTAGTCCTTCTTTATGGGATCTCAGGAAGAACTTTTCTGAATGCACCCTCTCCACCCAACCCCTGCTTTTAGAGACCTCTATCCTGTCCCCCCTCCGTCTCCTCTTTTCTAAGCTGAACAGTCCCAGTCTCTGTAGCCTCTCTTCATCTGGGACCTGTTCCCAACCCCTGATCATGTTAGTTGCCCTCCCCTCTCCCAGCCTTTCTCTTCCCCTCTCCCACCTCCTTTTCCCAGTCTCCCCCAGTTTTTTTCAATAAAGACAGAGTCAATGTTGGAAGAAACGTTATCTTTATTTTGTACATCAATAAGAAGGGGGGCTAGGGAAGGGTAAGTGGAAGGAGGTGAGGGAGGAATGGGGTACGAGCCCCCGATGGGGAGGACTGGGCTGGCTCTGCGGGCTTCTGGGGGTGGAAGCTCTCCTGCAGCCCCCCAATTACTCCCTCTCCCCAGATGGCAGCCTGCGGCAAGTGCAGCCGGGCTGATGGCCGAGTGGTGTGATGTGCCCAGTGTGGGCACTCAGGGCACTCCAAGCCAGAACTTCTTTGCAAGCGGGGCACCCCTTAGAACTGTGTGTCCGGGGTGGGGGTCGGGACCCTTTAAGCGCAGCCCTCGGCTAGCCTGAGACAGTATCTCCATGCTCTAAGTCCTCCTTTTATGCCCTGCCGGCACTGCTTCCGGCCATCCTTAAGCCCTGTTCAGAGTCCACTCAATGTGGACTTACTAGTTCGAACTAGCAAAACGCTAGTTCGAACTAGTTTTTAGTTCTAGATGCGTTAGTTCGAACTAGCTTAGTTCGAATTAACTAATTCGAACTAAGTTAGTTCGAACTAGCGCTGTAGTGTAGACGTACCCTAATTGACCATTCATTATCAGTGGGAATAGGCCAATGGAGGGATGATAGGAGTTACTATAGAGAACTTTCTGGGTGTCTGGCGGATGAGTCTTGCCCACATGCTCAGGGTTTAGCTGATCGCCATATTTGGGGTCGGGAAGGAATTTTCCTCCAGGGTAGATTGGCAGAGACCCTGGAGGTTTTTCGCCTCCCTCTGTAGCATGGGGTCCAGATCATGGCTGGAGGATTCTCTGCATCTTGGGGTCTTCAAAGTATTTGAAGGCTTCAATATCTGAGATATAGGTGAGAGGATTATTCTAGGAGGGGTGGGTGAGATTCTGTGGCCTGCACTGTGCAGGGGGTCAGACTAGATGATCATAATGGTCCCTTCTGACCTTAAAGTCTATGAGTCTATGAGGTAAGCGGGAGGAATTGTAGACTGGTGGGATTGCCAAGAGGGGGTCCGGAGGAGAAACCAATCGCTTTCATGGAGGCTTGGGCCCCAAAGCTTTTAAATTAGATATTGCAAAAGATGCACTTCCTATGAAAGAAGTCGGTTGCCTGGTCAGAAGTTTGTCTCCTACCGAATACACAGCTCTTTACATAGCAGGCAGTGGGAACAGCACACACCTGATAACTATGACAAACTCTGAGTATTGGTACAGACCGGAAGCACAGACTTTTCTTTTTCCGGTTCAAAGCCCAGGCCGATATGGCAACAACGAGCACTCGGGCCTGTCTGAGGCCCTTATGGGAAAGACAACAGAGGCTTCCTGCTTCTTCACCTACACTGCGAGTAACAACGTGAGCCAGGAAACCCGTAAGGAAACCACAGGGATGTCAATCCAAACGCAGCAGGATTCAGACTTGAGTTGACCTGACACCAGATAGATCCGACGACTCCTTTTTTGTGTTCAACCCCAAACTTTCTACAGCTTTATTCCGCCAGCCTATATGTGAACCAGATGGAGAAAAAGCTCAACGTCCGTCTTAGGGACACAGGTGTGGACCTGACATGTTGAGAAAGTTGCTTTTGTTGCCAAACGTAGGTGGGTTTTGCTGTATAAACCGCCAAGGCGCTGCCCAAGAAAATTTACAACCTAATTAGAATCTCCCCAAAGAGCAGGAACAGGTGTTCTCAGACAGGCTCACTGTCCCCTTGGTAGTATAAACAGGCCTTTGCTTTCATCACTGAAATGGGGAGCCCAGTTAGAAGTTAATTCACTGGGTGTGCTAAGTTCTCAGCTCGCTGTATTGTGCGGGGGTTGAGACGGCTGGAGATCCGGCACTTCATCTTCTACTTTGGACTGACTTTTTTTTTAAGCTTGCTCAGCTTGGCCAAGAGTGCAGAAAGAAATTATCCTGTGCACACGCCGTCAGTTTACAGAAGCAGCATTGTATTGCATGGAGTTGTTTTACACCATTCCTTTCAGCAGAGTCCTGGCTGACTTGCATTAGCCTAATCTCGCATTTTCTCTACCTTTATGCTTCTGTTCTTTGCAGTGCATTTGTATAATGGAAAAAAATCCCTAAAAATGCTGGAAATAGACATCTGGGTAAATTGAATTGCAATTCAATGTCAGATATGAATTTGTGCTAGAGGTACAGTTTTGAGGAATGAATGTACGCTACCAGTGTGCCCTGTAAACTGTGCACTTGGGCAAACATCCAGAAGAGATTCAAGTGCTGCCTGGCTGATTAGCAGAGCGCCCATAGCCAGCAGCATGGGTTTCTACTGGTGGTGCATACCTACACATGCCATGGTGCATATAACAAACCTTATTCTGCACATGAGTGAAAAAAATAAAGGGAACATGGTACTATACTTCTGCACTTGGTGCTTTTAACCAAAGATTCCAAGGCCCAAGGGACCATTTTTGATCCTTCAATCTGGATTCCTTGA